TCTCTCTCTCTCTCTCTCTCTCTCTCTCTCTCTCTCTCTCTCTCTCTCTCTCTCTCTCTCTCTCTCTCGCTCTCTGCTGGTAGGTGTATGTCTCCCTCCCTCTCTCTCTGTCTCTGTCTCTCTCTTTCTCTCTCTCTCACCAGACACTTGGCTGACCGAGTCCATGGCCTCGAGCAGACCCGCCCCTTCGTCGGGGCTTGTGCCCGCGCTGCTATCGCCACCGCCGCCGCCACCGCCGCCTCCTCTACCAACACCGGCGCCGCCGGCGCCCGCCGCCATGCCGCGTATCAGGATGCTCCTCGTCGTGGCGGAAGCCGTCGCCGCCGCCCCCGCCCCCGCTGCTGGGGCTTTCCTCGTGTAGAGAGCCGGGTTGTGGCTCGAGAGCAGGTGCCGCGACGTCTCTACGCTGAGGGGAGAGGCCCGGAAGAGCGCCTTCCGCTGGAGGGGGGAAGCGGCGACAGGGCGGCCCGCCTGCGGTTGGTTTGTTCGATATATCAACGCCGACGTTCAGGAGGGCGGTGGCGGGGAGGGCGGTGGCGGCAGCACAAGCAGTAAGCAACAACAGGAAGAGGAAGCAGCAGCAGCAGCAGCAGCAGCAGCAGCAGCAGCAGCAACCAGCAGCAGCAGCAACCAGCAACCAGCAGCAATACAAATCGCGTCTTTTCGGGGGAGGATCGAAATATGTCAACACATGGTCGTCTCGACGTGTGTGCGGGGGGGTCGGAGGAGGCTAATGAGGTCTTGTCATACAAGTGATTGATCGTCTTGTCTTGTGGCACGCACGCGCACTGACGGAAACGTTCGTTTCGTGGAACAAAGCTTAATCCAATTCATTCAAGAGGAGGCATGTCAAACGTGGTACGCGCGCTTGGAAAGAGAAAACGGAGGGAGGAGGGAACGGGGACTGGTGCACGTACAGCTGCTGCAGACGGCAAACNCTCTCTCTCTCTCTTCCTTTCTCTCTTTCTCTCCTTCTCTCGGAAGGACTGTTGCCCATTGTCCATTTGGGGGGGGTGGGGCACAATCCCACTCCCACCTTCTCACACCCCGGGAACCTTTGCAGAAGATAAGTATCTCGGCAACAAAGATCCCAGAGAAGAAAACCATATCCCCGCCGCCTTCTGTTTTATCGGCAAGTTTTTTTTCCGGCAGACACTCTATGCACAACCACCAGCAAGAACAACACTCACCCAACCACCACAAGAACAACACTCACCCAACCACCACAAGAACAACACTCACCCAACCACCAGCAAGAACAACACTCACCCAACCACCACAAGAACAACACTCACCCAACCACCACAAGAACAACACTCACCCAACCACCACAAGAAGAACATCGACAGTACCAACGGTTGACATACCTGGCATAGCGCCGCGCTCGGGCCACCACCCCAAGACATCGTCCCATCCCCCGACCCCCCACTCTCCTCCTTCGCCGCCCCGTCCTCGCGTGCAGCCGCTCTCCCGTCCGTGCCCGGGATCGGAATACCCCTTCCGCCGCCAGGAGCGGCGGCGGCGGCGGCGGCGGCGGCGGCAGCAAGCTCGGCCTCCAGGGTCTCGAGGTCGAAGAGCCAGCCACCGGTCACCCCGACCAGGTGCGCGAGGCCGCTCAGGTCCGGCACCCGGTGCTTCCGGGCGGCCGCGTAGGCCTCGCCGTGCGGCGCAAAGCTGATGTCCACTCTGTCCGTCTCGTACCTGCCGATGGCGCCCCCGACCCCCCCCGCCGCGGCCGCCGCCGGCAACCACCTCCCCACTGCTGTAGCTCCCCTGTTGCCGCTCGGCAACACCGCCACGGAGGAAGCGGTGGTGGCGGCGGCTCCCCCGCCGCCGACCCCGCCGCCAACGCCCACATCAGCCCTCTCCCCCATGCGGTCCATCAGGAGGCACGAGACGGCCACGTCGTGGCGGCAGAGCCGCATGGACAGGCCGTCGTACTCCGTGGGCGAGGGGTAGTCCACCAGGCCGTCGGTGACCACCAGGGCGATCGGCGCCGCATCCAGCGGCAAGAACTTGAGCGCGAGAACGATGGCATCCGCCATCCCGTCCAGCTGGGTCTTCTGCCGGCCCTGCTGGCGCGGCTGCTGCTGCTGCTGCTGTTGAGGCGCGGGCCCCGAGCCCGGGGCGGAAGACGAAGAGGTGGTGGACAGGGGCACCTCCGGCAGCGGGGGGAAGGCGCCCCCTCCGGCAGAAGAAGTGGTGGAGTTCCTCCTTGACGAACCGCCGCGGCTGACACCGCCGCCGCCACCACCGGCACTCTCTCGTGAAGCCGTCGCCGCTACCCCCGGAGCGGGAGTCGGGCGGTGTCCGTGACCCGAGCACGGGGTGACGATGTCGCCTTCGTAGATCGAGTGCCGCCGCGCGGCCTCCGCCAGGTCGCACTCCGTTTCGAACCTGTCGATCGTTTCGCCCAAACGAGCGTTGTTGTTGTTGGTGGTGGTGTTGGTCGTGTTGGCGTTGGCGTTGGTGTTGGTTATGTTTATTTTGTTTTGTTGGCGTCGTCGTCGTCGTTTGTAGCCGTCGTTCTTCCCATTCGCAGCCCCCCAACCCACGGGGCGGCAAACGACAAAGATAGTCGACAGATGGCGGCACACAATGGTACAGATATGGTGAGCCGCCATGTTTTCCGTGGGGGGGGTCACGGGGTCGGTGGCCGGGGCACCCCGGGGCGGGGGGGGTATCTGTGGCTGCGCCCACTGCTGTTCATGTCACTTGCCTCTTCTGGATGTGTTTCGCTGAGTTGTCGTCTTCTTTTTTTCTACCGACGACGCGAGGGTGTCGAAAACGTCGGGCGAGTTGCCGTTCGCCCCTCCGGCAGGCACTGTGGTGCTGCCCACATGACTCGATTGATTTTGCGAGCTCAAGCTCTGGCAATACACCAACTTCAACAATTTTTGGCAGGATGACTCGTGTCTAGCCCCTTACGCCCATTGCTCCGCCACACGACGTCTGTATTGTCCATCGCTTTTTGCTACCAACGGCTCGGAACCACGGCGATGGTCCTGGTGCCTTCACACAAGCCACGGGGCAGCGCGGGGGAGGGTTCAGTACTGCGGCCGTGTGCTGGGCAGCTTCGCCGGCACAGCGGGGGCCACCACGCACTACTGCAGATATTCAGATGGAAAGAGAAGGGTCTGAGGTCAATCAAATCCGTGAGGTCTCCCGCGATTCCAAAGCGGCACTTTCACCAGGCACCAACTGAGGTTGCCCCCACACGGGCACTACAACTGACAGGTGTCGCGCACAGCAGCAGAAAAAAATACGTGCATGTTAACGCGCCCTCTCCTCTCCTACCGGTTTTCAACGCCGTGCAAGGCTTTCGTGAGGAGCACCCGTAGCCGGCCGAGAGAGCGCCCATCTCCCTCCGCCCCGCCGCGAAGGAGAAACCCCTGGATCAGGCACCACACAACGTCCAGCTGACGACGCCACAAGCCGCGAAGAGGAGGACGGGGTGTCGAGAAGAGCACGAGCGGTTGGCGGCGAAGGAGGACGAGGAGGGCGGGGGGAGCGGAGAAAGAGGAAGATCCCGAGGGGTTGAGGGTGGGCGGGCATTGGGGGGGCGGGGGCGGGGGCAGGGGCGGACTGCGGCTGTTGCGCGGACACGGAGAAAGATGGAGGTGAAACCTTGTGGTATCATGATACGGTCCTTTAACCGCGTGCCTTACTTCCTTCGTGACTTCAACGTGGTAAGTGAGTCGTCAGAGTTGCAGCATCTAATCGGGTAAGTACTACGTGCCCTAAAAGGGTGGATGGGCCTTAGTGACAGGAGTTCCATCTGTTGAACGAACCATAGGTGTTTGCTCGGGTGTTGGCAAGAATCACGTGTGCACTGCAGAGGCGATGTGCTGCTGCTTGGGGTTACTTTCATTAGGCACGAAAGAAAATAATTCAACAGATGTACACGCTCCCGCGACAAAAAAAAAAAACAAGCAACTACTGTACCCCATGTGTGCGTACCTCTATCGAGTAGGCGATCACCGACACGTGCACCTCTTCCGCGATGCCCATCCGCGAGGAGGGGGATTGGGCCGCGCCCTGCTGCTGCCGCGCGTCGGTGATGGGTGCCACTAGCGCCTGCCGTGCACGCGTAAACATCCGCACAAGAGCGTGCACCGGAACCAAGACAAATTTTCTACAATAAGAACGCGCACGTCACGTCCCGAGAGGGGCAAGAGACGGAGCTGGGCGACGAAAAGTAGGAAAACCCACGCCGAGCAGCGGAGCCCAGCCGAGTCGAGCCGGGACCGAGCCTTCTCTGGTCTCAGGAACTACATCATCACAGGTTGAATCGGAACCCCACTCCCCCCCCAGGATGCTCCGTCCCGGCTTTGTAGGGACGCGAGTTCAATGGTCTAACGACACGGCATGCACGACTATGATTACAGCCCCCCCCCCCCCCCCCCCCCTCCAGGATGCAGCGCACTCTTCATGCCACTCGCCGAATATCTCACGGCGCTTGGCGCTTGGTGATGTGAGAGCCTGGTCCGGTGAACACCCCGCGTGCTCCGTCCCGGCTTCGTAGAGATGCGAGGTCAATGGTCTAACGACACGCCATGCACGACTATGAGTACAAGCCCCCCCCCCCC